ATGGGGGTTGAGTTCTTGAGTTAATGCCTGAACGACCCAATCGTCTGCAACCGGAGGCAGGTCCATCCGTTCAATTTGAAACCTTGACACGAACTCCCTGAGTATTTCGTTGTCCTTTGCTTAACTTTGAAAAGGTTTGATTTTCTGGTCTCGACCTTGATGGATCCAGCATGAGCTTTTAGAAAAGCATCCGCGAGCATAGCTAACGAATCAATGGATTTTGGGGGCAAGTTGTACTACCATATCATCGCTCTTTTTAATAGAGTCTCCCCAAACTTCTTTAACAGCACCGACTCGATTTTGTCGTCTTCCAAGTTGTTACCCTTAATGGCGCATTTGTTAGAAGTCACATGCTCATTTGGATCTGTGGTTCTATTATAATTTGGAATGTCAGGCATACGAAACCTCTTCGGGATTGATTTCGGTGTCGCGCTCGGAGGGAAAGGCTTTTGGACAAATTTCTTGGAGTTAGGGCCTTTCAGTATCTTGTCACTTGCCTCGATTTTTTGTTCACCAGATTCCGCTCGTTTCATTAATGCTTCTAGCATTTTCATCACTTCAGGGCTGACATCGGACTCAGCTTTGCCCGGCCTTTTGGTGATCCGCTCATTTCTTCGGGTGTTTTCCCGAGGCAATTCGGACTCAACTCTGCTAGGGGCACGGCTTTGGTTTTTGCAGCTGTTCTATCTCTGCCTGCTGAGCGTGTAGCATTTCGAAGATCAATCATAGACTGACCCTGTCGCCTTCGCCTTTGGGTGCTCCTGAGCCGTTGGTCGAGCTCCTCCGCGAACACTGTTTTCATGTCAGTGGAAAGGTTGGCGTCGATAGATACATGTGAGTTAGCATCGACTGGGTCCACGACTGGGACCCCGTTAGGATCAGCAAGGGCACCACATTGCTAGGCACCAGATTGTTGTTTTCACCGTGATGGCCATATCCGTCCTCAATGTTCAAGTGAGCGGCTTGAGAATTTGACATTATCAAGCCGATATGAAATCGAGATCTTATAGAACAAGAATAAAATGGAGTGTGTTATGGATATTTGTATCAAACCACCACTATTATCCTTAGCCCCACGGTGGGCGCCAAACAGTTTACCCTTAAAAATGGATAGCAATTGAATTTATACGCGGTTTTAAGGATATATAAACTAATTTAGTACACGTTATCAGTAATGTTAAATAAGTAAATTAAAGATAAAAATAATGACCAAATCAGTTGTGATGTTAGGTCCGAGCTCGGGTCTAAACTTAGTGATTGGTCTACCCTCGGTTCAAATCCAAATACTTATGAAGGACTATGAGCAAAAATAAGAACTTTGAATAACCTTAGAAGCAAAGAAAACAATTGTATATTGCCTTGATATATGTGATACAATGTGTCTATTCAACAATAAACCTCCCCTTTATATAGTAGGAAAGTTTTACCCTAAGTACAATTCTGAGAAAGATAAAAATCTTCTTTTTCATTAATCACTGATCCGCTATCAATACGGGCCGAGATCCAAGCCGTGATATCTGGTTGGCGCGAATATCACGGCCCTTCTTTAGTCATGTACAACTGTTTGGTTATGCCTTCCGATGTCTTGGAGCGCGTACCGGATTCGGGGGGGCGTTGTCTCGATGGCCCCGGTGGTAAGTGCTTCGTTCGGGCCTTAGTACGAGAGGTTCTTAGCTTCGATCCCGATTCCATGTAGTTATGTCCTTGCTTCGTTTGATCCCACCAGAAAATCGGGATGCTCACTAGCCCCGGTTTTACCCGTATACATAACTATTTTTAATCTAAATAGTAGCTAAATAATTATTTAGACTAATTTTCAAAACAACCATGAGATATATAAGGTTTGTATGGATTCTTAGAGGTAAAAGGTTGACATCTAACCGGCACGTGAACTAGAGGAGATTCTAACAACCACCCCAAACTAAACAACCCAAGATTGACTAAAATCTAGGCTGAATACATATGGAGACACTTAAAGTTGGCACAATTTTTATTTAGACACCTGAACTTAGTAATGTTCCTAATGAGCATGTACATTACACGAACTTTGTTCTAATTAGGCACTTTTGTTGAGTTGGCACATAGAGTGAGTTTCACCCAATATAGGTGCGTGAAGAGCCCAAAAAACATTTTATTTTATTTCCTTCTTCTTCTTCTTCTTCTTCTTCTTCTTTCTCTCCACCATCATTTCCACCATTGCCTCCTCCACTTTCACCATTGTTGTACCTCCACTATTGGTTTAGCTCGAAAGTTTAAACCAACAATTGTCCTTATTGATTAAAACTGGAATGAGTCAGAGTTCTTCATTTCAAATCGAAACACCATTAATGGGGACTTTAAAAAGCTTGAAGGTTTAAAATGGGTTACTTGATTTTATTTAAAAAAAAGGACTTGTGTTGGATTGGCACTACAAATCTAATCCAAATAAAATAGATACAAAAAAGTATAGATGGGAGAATAAATTAAGTGAAAAATATTTACTTAGATTTATTTAATCCATAATGGATTCAATCAAGTTAAGTGAGATAAGCAAACTTTGATTTCTTTTTTTAGTTTTAGTAGAGTTCCAATGAAAAAAAAAAAACCCACCCAATTGAAGGAAATGCCGGAATTTTCTATTTCGAGGATCAATAAAATAAGAGGTTTTGTAGTTATAGAACACGGAATTCAATGAAAGCAATGATTAAAAAAAATACCAATAGAAAAGGAAAGGGAGGAAATACAAAAAAATAGAAGAGTTTTTGATGAAAGTTTGAGAAATTAATGTTGGGGTTGTCTTTGGGTCGTCGTGGGAAATCTTTAGCTGAAGTTATAACAAATTTGGAGAAGTTTCTCTTAAAATTTGGATTAAAATCGTTGTTGGAACAAGAACATACATGAAGATAGTGAAGAACACCAAGAACACTGATTTTCAGAACACCAATGTCTCATTTTTTTAAAATGTGTTCTTTCCTGATTGGGTGTAAATTAAGTTTTTCTTTTCTTTTTGAGAATGTTATTTTTATTTTGTTTATTAAATAGATTAACATAGTTTTTCCTCTTCTTTTTTTTAACTCAAAAAGATATATGTCCTCATTTTATTCATCATTTGTCACGTCAGCAACGAGTGTATTGCACACACTTTGTAAGTTTCGCTAATTGTCAAAAGAGTGTCTAATTGGAACGAAGTTCGTATAATGTACGTGCTAATTAGGACACCCCTAAGTTCAGATGTGTAAATGAAAAATCGTGCCAACTTTAAATGTCTTCTTATATGTATTTGGCCTAAAACCTATAGTATTATTGTCAGGGATCGGCTCTTCATGAACATTAACTCATGATAATATTTTTTACCCTAAATATTTTTAGTACTATTAACCAAAATGAGATAATTGGGAAACTTTTTCCTTTCCTTCGTATCAAAATAGACCCTACTAATCCACTCATTTTCTTCGTTTTCTTCAATAGACTTATTATACACCTTTGTCTCAATTTTAGTTTAATACTTTCATTTTTACCAACAAAAATGTCATACTTAGTTTCTTATATAAAAATTTTAATTTTAACCTTTTCGTTTGATCTTAACGAGATGCTTTATAGCCACAAAAAATTTGACTTTTTTTTCCTTGTTCTTTGATGAACCAGATGCTACAGGGAGCAATTTATTTTTTAATAAGTAGTCACACAAATTTCAAAAGTTTTTTCTTTTTTTCAAACTTCGTGCTTAGTCAAACGCCACCACATAAATTGAAATATGTGGAGTAAATATTGTTCCTAATGTAGTGTTTCAGTTGTAATCATCATAATTGAACTAACTGAAAAAAGAAATCTTGATCGATAATTTATAAGATTCTATTATATAATTTCCTTTTGTTCTCCTAAAGAAGATAGGTGTTTATTTTGTTAGAATGTATAATTTATAATTAAAATCATCAAAATTTTAGAATGCATCATCTCAAATTGATTTGGGCATTTTCTATATATTTTAATGTTATTTTACTCATAGTTTGATTTCTTTTTGGTGCCATTTTATGGTGAATATATATGCCTAACTTATATTAATTATTGATTTTATACTAACTGATGTGTGTTGTGGTTTAGGATTTTTGGATACAAAAATATACTTCAGTTAAAGGAACAGAGTATGCAAGCTATTAAGACAGTGTATATTTATTACTATCAAGCTAGTTGTACAGTGATGTATTAGTTATACTTAGTGGAGCATTGTAAGTAGTATAAATAGGAGTAGATATTTTCTATATTGGGATTGTATTCTTTTTTTATACTCTTTCACTCAATGTACATCTGAGCCTCTTAGCTCTTTCTCTAATGAAATAGAATCTTCCAGAAACTCCTTCAACGAAGGCATTCTCCATCCGCCATTAGAGCTCATTCAAGCTAAGCTCATCTCCTTCATCTTCTCTGTTATTTTGACATGGTATCAGAGCAAGGCTCTTGATCCTGAGTTCAATCGATTAATTTTCTTCTCAATTCGAGTGTATCTCCATAATAAATTTCTGTACAAATAGTGAAATTTTCCCGATTTTCAAATCGATCCTTGATAGTCATGGCTAATGATGGAAATGCCACGAATTCCACAAATCCGGCCTTATATTCGACCAATCCACTCTACATGCACCCATCTGAATGCGCCAGTTCTATGCTAGTGCCAGTGCCCTTCGATGGTTTAGGGTATAGATCACGGAGAAGAGGAGTTCTGAGATCTCTTTCAGTGAAGAATAAAGTGGGATTTGTAAACGAGAAGTGCAGAAAACCGGATTCTCGGGACACTAATTACGATCAGTGGGAGCGTTGTGATGACATGGTCACATCATGGATCCTAAATTCTATCTCAAAGGATTTAGCGGACAGTGTACAGTATGTTAATGACGTTCAGGAACTCTGGAAGGAACTTGAAGACATATATGACCAAACAAATGGAGCGAAGTTGTATCAATTGCAAAAAGGAAATAAATGATTTGAGTCGAGGAACCCTAGATATCACTGGGTACTATACTAAAATGAAGAAACTTTGGGAAGAGCTAAATACGTTGATTGCACATGCTCAGTGCAAATGCAATTGCACATGTGGTGCTAAGGCGAATATGCAGAAGGCTTAGCAGGACAGACGACTGATTCAGTTTCCAATGGGGCTAAACGAGGTTTACACTGTAGTTAGGGGAAGTATTTTGATGATGAATCTGCTACCTTCTCTCGCTCAGGGTTTTTCAATCCTTATCCAAGAGGAGAAACAAAGAGAGGTCAAGCCGAGCAATCATTGATGATTGAATCTACTGCCTTCAGTGTCAATAGATCAGGGGGTAATCCTTTCAGGACTAATTTTGGTCAACAGACAAACACTACAGACAATACTGGTTATACAAACTTCAATCAGCAGGGAAATAATACTGGAAACAACAACTACAGGGGAGGATATTCTGGGAGTAAGCCACGACCTTTTTGTGACTATTGTAAGAGGCCAGGTCACATTAAGGAAAGATGCTACAAGTTACGCGGTTATCCACAGGATTCAAGGTTCAACAAAGGAAAAGAATTGCTGCAAATGTACATGGAGGTCAAGGAGAAAATGGCATTGAAAGTGGAGATGGAAATAATGTGCAGATGGAGGAACATGACAGAACTATGCAGAACCTTACCAAGGAGCAATATAATCAGTTGCTGAGCATCTTGGAGAACTTTCATGCTGGAAATGGAGGAAATGAACTGAAAGCAGGAGCTGTGAACTTTGCAGGTATCTCAGCCTATTCAACTCATTTTGGTTCTGGTTTCAACTTATATGAATGTTCTAAATCTGTTGCTGACTCTTGGATACTTGATTCCGGAGCATCAAACCATATGAAATATAATAAATCCATGTTATCCAATGTGAAAATCTTAGTATATCCTTTCCTGGTTACTTTGCCTAATGGTTATAAGGTGAAGGTGACATTGATGGGAGATATAGTGATGAGTCCTAGGTTCACTCTGAAAAGAGTCCTTTTTGTCCCTAGCTTCAAGTTCAACCTAATCTCAGTACACTGTTTAACAGTTCAACTTGATTGCTTTGTCATATTTACCAAATTCTCTTGCATCCTTTTGCAGGCCCCTTCACTGAAGAGGCCTCTAGCAATTCGTGAGAGTAAGGATGGTCTGTACCTCTACACATCAGATTCTTGCAAGTCCAACACCTCAGAATTCTGCAAATCTAACCCCCTAGTACTTGAGAAGTCATCTAGTATACCAAATAAAGGTGATATAATCACTCAGTCTATTTCATATAGTGTAAGCAGTAGCAGTAGTGTTAGTCCACACTCTGTTTCACACATTACACCTAGTTTACATAACTCTATTTCCTCTACTATCCCTAGATCACACACTTCTCTTCATGAATGTAATAAAGATGTCAAAAATTCTCATGTGCAGAATGAAAGAAATATTAGTCCTACATGCAATGCATCTATGACTGATAAAACCATGATTGATCTTTTGTGGCACAATAGATTGGGACATGTACCCTTTGTCAAAATGAGAGGGATTGAGTCCATACCTGTTCACTTTTCAACCAAACAACCTTTCATTTGTCCAATTTGCCCAATGCCTAGACAAAATAGACTACCATTCTCAGAAAGAACTATAGCTACAACCAAGATCTTTGAAATCCTTCATGTTGATTTGGGGGGGCCCTATCATGTGCCAACCCATGATAAGAAAAGGTACTTCATCACTCTAGTAGATGACTACAGCAGGTGCACTTGGACACACCTTCTTAGCTGCAAAAGCAATGCCCTACAGGTAGTCAAGGCTTTCTCTGCCATGGTAAAGAACCAATTCAACTGTTCCATTAAGACCACTAGAACTGATAATGGCCTTGAATTCATAAATTCTGAAATCGCTTCCTTTCTACAGTTTGAGGGGATAATACATCAGAAAACATGTCCCTATACACCTCAGCAAAATGGTATAGTTGAAAGAAAATACAAGTACCTTCCAGAGACAGCCAAGGCACTGTTGTATCAATCTAAACTTCCCATGCAATACTGGGGAGAGTGTATCCTCACCTCAACTTACTTGATTAACAGACTTCCTTCTACCACTCTAAAAAATGAATGTCCATTGGAATTACTCTACAAAAGAAAACCCAAATACTCTCACCTCAAAAGTTTTGGATGCTTGTGTTTTCCTACAACCCTAAAAACTCACAAAGATAAATTTGAATCTAGATCTATACCTTATGTTTTTGTGGGATATCCCTTTGGGAAAAAGGGCTACAAGGTGCTCAATCTAGTCACAAAGAGAATTCATGTGTCAAGGGATGTTATATTTCATATAAGTGTATTTCCTTTTGCTTTACACTCCAGTTCCAATAGAGTGTTTCCCTCATTTCCACAAGTAGATTCAGATTTAGCACAAGATCTATTCCCCTCTCATGGGTCAGCATCTGTCCCTAGTTCTCCTAGTCCATCACTCCCAACTATGTCACCTGATGCCTCATCACCAGGGCCAAGTGAACCTAACACTCATACAACCTCAAACTCAGAAGAACACTCCTTTTTTCTTAACAACAATGAAACATTCTCAAATAACACTCCTAGCTCAACAGTACAGGAACCTAATGAAAATCTAGGAAGGCCTTCCAGGACCCTCAAAGTACCTACTTACTTGAAAGACTACAACTATTCACTTCCCAAATTGCAAATAAATCATCCAGATTCCCCCTCCAGTAGCAACCGAAGCACTACCTCACCCTCCTTCAATATTTCCATACCAAATGCCAAATGTGTTTCACTCAATGCTTTAAGTTCTGACGGTCAGCAACTAATCAGAACCATTTCACATGAGACTGAACCCAGTTCATATGAGGAGGCAGCTGCTGATCCTGCTTGGCAGGCAGCTATGCATCAGAAGTTTGAGGCTCTTTATGCTAATCACATTGGACCTTTGTGCCACTCTCAGTTGGAAAAAGGGCAATAGGATGTAAGTGCATGTACAAGGTGAAGCACAAGACAGATGGCAGTACAGAGAGATTGAAAGCAAGTCTAGTAGTGAAGGGATACACTCAACAGGCAGGGGTAGATTACACAGAAACTTTTTCACCAGTAGTGAAAATGACAATTGTCAGGGCCCTAATTGGGACAGCAGTAAAGAAAGGCTAGGAGATCTTCCAATTAGATGTGAACAATTCATTCCTCCATGGGGATCTTCATGAGGAGGTATACATGGAAGTACCTCCTGGTCTAGCTGTAGAAAGGCCATGTTTAGTGTGCAAATTGAACAAGTCCCTATATGGCTTAAAACAAGCAAGCAGGCAATGGTATGAGAAGTTGACTGAAGCACTCATTTCCAGGGGGTATACATACTCTTTACTAGATTATTCTTTATTTTACAAGAAACATGACACATCAGTAGTATTTGTAGCTGTTTATGTGGATGATGTCCTAGTGACAGGGACTGACTTACAAGAGATAGATGCACTGAAGGGTTACTTGCATAAGACTTTCAAGATAAAGGACCTGGGAAGACTCCATTACTTCCTAGGATTAGAGATCCTGTACAAGGATGATGGAGTATTGATATCACAAAGGAAATTCACAATGGACCTCCTATCAGAATTTGATTGCACAAAGTATTCTGCTTTGACCTCTCCACTAGATCCCTCAACTAAACTGAGTGCAGATGAATGACCTCTATTGCCTGATCCTTCACACTACAGAAAACTAGTGGGAAAGTTGAATTATCTGACTAACACAAGGCTTGATATATCCTATAGTGCAACATTTGAGTAAGTACATGCAAAGTCCTAGGGAGCCACGTTTGAAAGCTGCATATCATGTATTGAGATATCTCAAAGGTGATCCCTTGGGGATCTTTCTATCCAACAAACAGGATTACAGGATTCGAGCTTTTTGTGATTCAGACTGAGCAGCCTGCCCTGATTCAAGAAAGTCAGTGAGTTGGTATGTTGTATTGCTGGGTGATGGACCTATTAGTTGGAAATCTAAGAAGCAACACACCATCTCACTGTCCTCAGCAGAAGCAGAATACAGAGCTGCTAGGCAGGTTGTAGGAGAATTAGTGTGGCTACTCAGACTACTACAAGAGTTGACAGCTCTCTTAACATTTCCTGTGCCAGTTTTCTGTGATAGCCAAGCAGCACTCCATATAGCCAAAAACCCTGTATTTCATGAACGCACGAAACACATAGAAGTGGACTGCCACTTTGTGAGAGATCAAGTACACGAGGGGCTTATCACTTTGCATCATATTTCCACGAATGAGCAACTGGCAGACTTCTTCACCAAACCTCTCACAGGATTGAAACACTGCAATTTACTTAGCAAGTTGCCTGTGAGTTCCTCCCTTCCAACTTGGGGGGGGGGGGGTATTAAGACAGTGTATATTTATTACTATCAAGCTAGTTGTACAGTGATGTATTAGTTGTACTTAGTGGAACATTGTAAGTAGTATAATAGGAGTAGATATTTTCTATATTGGGATTGTATTCATTTTTTGCTCTTTCACTCAATGTACATCTGAGCCTCTTAGCTCTTTCTCTAATGAAATAGAATCTTCCAGAAACTCCTTCAACGAAGGCATTCTCCATCCGCCATTAGAGCTCATTCAAGACAAGCTCATCTCCTTCATCTTCTCTGTTATTTTGACACAAGCAAAGCTTGCAAGTTGCAACTTACCATGCGAATTGGAGAGCCAGCAGCCCTAGCAGTGAAGTTTCAGGAAGGCCTCTAGCTTAGTATCCATACCTCGACGCAACGACCTGAGTAGTGAAGTTTGGATGCGAAACATCCACCCCAGCATCGGATGCTGGGAATTCAAAGCTGAAGTGGACACGAAGCATCTAGCTTAGCATCAATCCTTGAAGTTAACTCAGATAGGGAAAAGGGTAACTTTGACCAATTACTTTTGTACATAATATTTAAAGAAAAAATGTAGCTCTTAGATCATCTAACACTTTAAAGCAGAGAAAAACCATCACAGAGTTTGAAGAACGTGGAATTCGTCTTGAGTTCTTCCTTTTTTCTACTTCTCTTATTGATTTTTATGTATTCTTGAGAATTAATTGAGATTGCTACCATAACTATGCGTGGCTTAACTCGTTTATTCTGGGGTTATGATTTTACATGGATGCTGATATTCGAATATTGATTTGATGATTTAATTTATCATATTGAGTTGTTTATTTATATCCTAACCTTAATTATTTTACTGGCAGGATAACAGTGAAATAATATAGATGAATCTTGAGTTGAACTTGAAAGAGGTAATTCTTGATTGCAATAGGATTGAATAGAGCGCGATCTTGAACCTAGTCATTGAAAAATTGATTTGTGAATACGGATAGATATATACCTATTTGTCGTGCTTAGCCAATTATGCAAAAAATTATTAATGTGTTCTTTTATCTCTAATCTCATAGAAATATAGGGTTTAGAATAAATTAAATAGACGAATAGAAGTTATCAAATTTCTACGATCTCATTGAATTAAAATCTTTATGCTAAGTGTGCTAGTTAATTAGTTCTTCTGTTAATCGCAACTCTAGATGCTAGAATTAATGAAACAAAATCACCTTGAACTTATTTTTGACTTGATAAATTAGAAATTGCTTGATTTAGTTGATAATTGTTCACAAGTTCTTGTGGGAACGATACTCTACTCACTCTTTATTACTTGATTGACCGCGTATACTTGCGTGTGCGATTTAGGGCAACACAAATCATCGAGAAAATTATAAATTAGATTCGAGAGCATACCTAAATTCGTAAATACAGATGAAATTCTTCACTCCCGTGATTGGTGATCTTACAAATTAAACTAAAGTGTATGATTCATTAGATAAGGTGGCTCTCTATTTTCTAATGGTGGGATATCAATTAGGAAACATATTTCACTAAAAACTCTTGAAATTCTCGATTATAAGCTCCTTAAATCTATTACTTATAATTGTTCAATTCCCCTTATGCAAATGAACGGTATTAAAGCCAAAATCATAGATCTGGGAAATTATGTAACCAAGTAAAGACAGATTAACTGATATACCAATCAAATTCCTCATTCCAAAACTAGTTGGTGTGATATATATAAAGATTCATCAAAGCAGAAAGAAAAATGTCACTTGTACGTAGTAGTAATGCAACTATTTTATTTAGGTATAAAATGCCAGTAAAGGCTTTAATTCCTTGCAAGATGGCATTTATGTATGAATACATAAATAGACTACAAGACATCAAAGATACAACGATATTTATTTAGTGACATTTAAGATAATGTCGAAAAACATATGATTTCTTGCACGGATAATGTACACTATCCGCGCAACGATTGCTTACATAACATTGCAACCACACATAAACGATAACATTATTTTTATGACGTACTCTCAGTACCGTCATATATGACCTTTATCGTTAGGATCGATCCTAACACAAGGTAGTGAGTATTCTACAGCGTTTTGCAGCATTCTTGGCATTAGGTGATTTCACATATGGCCTTAGGTTTGGATCCCTGGCGTACTCACAAAGGCAAGGCCTCTGCTCGTACAACTTATCACAACATTTACTAGTGGGTGGCTGTGACGAGGTGAATGCCGGATCGCACGGACTCAGCTCCTTGATGTCGCATTTTACTTTTGCCTCTGTCACCAGCAATTCGCCAATTATAAGGACCAATGTCAAAACCAGTATTATTGCAGCAAAAGAATTGCCTTTCTTCATCTTACAAAGTGTTAGAGAAATTGAGTATGAATAAATTATAGAAAGAGAAAGCAGGGAAGTGAAGGTGGAGAGCTAGTGAAAGATAGTATCTCAATTTATAATGGGGACACTCCACACTTAAACCATTGCTCGTCCTTGAGTAATCAAACTACACTTTATATAGACACGAGCTTTTTAACCAATTCTCCTAACTCATCACACCAAGAGTATTTAAAATAGACTAAGCACAAAAGCGTAATATCTTCACCTCAAGATTTGACTCACAAGTATCACGCATTATTCACAACTCACCCACTCCTCCTAACATAGAGGTCCCTGACATTACCTTTCCTTCATGAATCAAGTGCCCTCACACAACAAAAGAGAGTAGTTCCACACAATAAAATTTAAGAACACTGAGGAACTCAAGTTAGAAAGAATTCACTCACTCTCAGAAATAATATTCATATGCCACAAAAGATGCACCATAAGCTTTCCCTAGTGTACTACTCTACTAATCGAGCTCATTCAATCTAGGATAAATTAGGACTTTATTTGGTTGTAATGTAGGCTGCGGGACGGGTAGGATACATTTGGATATAAGAGTGACTACACCTCCTTAAGCACTTTAATACATATACTTTAACATTCAAACCTCATACTTATGTCAAACCAAACTCCACCTTCACCTCAATGTATATTACCCCATACTTCTTTAAGCACAATTACATCAAGAGTCACCACTTATCAAGGAATACTTTTTTTTCACAGCAATACAACTATTTTTTTTTCCAATTCAAGTGGCTCTTACTTGTTCAAAACAGTGCACCTTTCTCCTTATTTCATTTGCTCCACTCCCCGGCAACGGTGCCAAAATTTGATCACGTCCAACTTTAGTCCTAAAAGGGTAAGCGGTCGGTGCAAATATAATCCGGTCTAAAAGTCCGGTGTCGAATCCCACGGAGAACTAAGGTTTCACTATAACTGTTCAATATCACCAAGAGGACAAGCTCGAATCACTTTTAAGTTATAAAGATTAAGATTCTTATATATAACTAATTAACAAAGAAACTAAAGTAGTAAATTAACAACTAAAGATACTAAGGGTTGGAGATTAAATTTAGGAGGTCTAGAGTTATGATTTCCCCAAATGTTGGAATCCTTACAGCTATGTTCCCTACAATTTCAGCGATATATTCTCTACTGATCGTGAGCATTTTAGGTGCCGTAATTCTCTCTCGAGCAACTACAACAATTTACTAG